ATCCTCGGAAAGAATTTCTACCGGAAACAAACAAACAAGCAGATACGTAACAGTATCTTCTGAGGATTTTGTGTATAAAATTCAATTAATAGTAGTTAGTTGATATTCTATATGCATTCAGTACAGAGAGTGAGTTGAGGAGGATCTTACACTGCAGTACTTTAAAAATACTGTGTCATGTATTGTAAAAAAATTATTTCATTGAATGAAATAGATCTGTTTTTCATTTAATATTTTTAAGCAGTGCAGGTTGGCTCTGCAGAACCTTTTGTTGGCTTTATACTTGTCTCTCTGTGGCTGTTGTCATTAGCCACATTAATAAGAAAATATTAATTATATTAATATTATATAAATTATATTAATTATATAAGAAAATTTTAATTATAAATATACTGACAACTATTGTCCATTGCAATGACAGTTTTACATATCTTGTGTATATTTAATATATGTAAGTTTGTGTTGTAAAAGAAGAATTCTAAATAACACACCATTGAATTTATAATATTTGTGATTTCTTTTAGCAATGTCCTAATTGATTCTCATTCAGATAGTTTAAAATAATATGCACACAATTTATATTTTAATATTGATGCAACTTTGTGACTCATGCACAACGTTTTATTATTATCTAGATTTTAATATGCAGAGTTTAACCATTTCACCCCATTATTAGATTTCATGGTCAGTTCCCAGTCAGTGTCATATCTCCATCAAAAAACATCATAAATTAGCAGTATGTTTCACTGTATTATGCATTATGATATACAAGACACACTTACATTGCATATGTTGACATTATGGCAGCAATAGCTTACCTAAATTATGGTAAAAACACAGAGAAAATATGACAATCAGATTATACCTCTGTATGTGGATGGCATAAGTGCCTTGCATCGTCCCCCAGCTGAGGTCCCAGCTGAGAGATTATTTATACTCATGTTTCCTGCTCACACTCCCAGATGTCAGTACACCCCATGTCTGATGATCGATTCGACTGTGGAGAAAAGTCTGTCTCTGCTGTCAACAACAATTAATCTTGTGTTGACTATAGTTTCCATCCATGGTATAAGGGTTAACCTTCAGAATAATTTTTTTTCTAGTAAATATAGCTTTGACATCTATTATATAGATAATTTTTTCTGTGAAAAGTTTTTTTTCCTCTGCCATGTGTATCAAAACAGTTGGATTTGGTTATTATCAGCTAATCTGTTCACTAAAGACTATAAACTGTGGAAATATTTTTATTCCTTTAATCTTGGTTACCGTGAAAGTTATTAGATGTAGTCTTTTATGTCTATTTTATACTTTGCTAAGTTCTTTTCCAAGCCTTAACCATAATTGTTTTAACTTCCATTCACAGTATGTGTACGAATTTAGTTTGTGTTCGCCCACAGTTATTCATCCATTATTACACTTGTTTTTTTATAGATTTTCAAACTTATGTATTTATTGTATAACATAATTGTTACAATGTTATCAATTAAGCTGGAAGGACATTTGCCACTTTGAAAATTGATAGTTTTCTTAGCTTTAGAGCCCAAGATAAACACTGTACTAGTTTCTTTGAAGGATTCGTTGATTCTTCATTTATGTATTTGTGTAATTTTTCATTATTTAACTGTGTTAGGGAAAGCCAAAGTACATCATGAAGAAGATGACGACGACATAAAAGAATTAGCTGCATGGGCTTCCTAGAAATCTGGAGATGCTGACCACTGTAAGATGATTTTTTTAAACTTTAGCCCTTACTTTCAGATTTTGATATATCAATAAAAAATATTTTTGTACTACAGTTTATCCAGCAAAAACAACTCTCCCATTGCTAAATTTATTTCTAGATACACAAAAACAACAACTAAAAAAAGAGACATTTTAATAATTCATTACTTGTATGAAATGGCTATATAGGAGTTTTATATAAATGTCATATTTTTAATAGATGCTGTGTTTCATATAATTTGTTTAACAAGAAAAAAAAATGTATGGCTGAGATCTGTCACATTTTTGAAGGAAACTTATTTTGTATGGTTCATGCAGATGTATTTGATGATTGATAACAGTGATCCAGGAGTAAAAAACAAGGAAATTGAATAATTTTGTAAAATATCCCTAGTTGTTCTTATTTGAAGTGACCAGTTAGTTACCCAGGTGTTGGTATCAGTACCATTGTATGTGGTCCTGGAATAGCCTGTATGTGATGGTGTTACTTATTGTGTAATGATATACAACTTGTATATATTTTTGTATACACACACATTTTTATTCCTTTGAATACACTTTTATTTCTTTATCACTTGCACTTCCTTGTATCTGGCAGTTTCTTTGTTTCTGTTTTGGTATATTAATGATAATGATGAGTTCATATTTTTTATATATATCACACACACACATGTATGTATGTATAAGGCAAGTCTTTTTTTCAGGCATTTAAACTGAAGTTAAAATTTCCTTTGAAGATCAAGTTTTCTAAAGATTGAAGTTAGTATTTTCCAGCAAAGATAAATTCAAAGGTGCCATGCAATGAACACTTCTCATATTTTTTTATTCTTCCAGTTTAAATAAGTACAGATATGAAGACTATCATGCAGATATTGGTAATTAGTCATCTGCCAGCTTATTAGTTTACATATGAATCTATTTGTGGTCAATGCAGTGAAGTATTAACATTCCAACTTTTTACTGAGTATTACCTTAGAAAAAAAAATGTGTCTAATAATGCTGTGAATAATAAATGATTGGATAAATCACTTGTTACACTGTAACTGATGAACTATCAAAATTCATATTTCATGATTAGACTATTTAGTAAATCCTTGTCTTGGAGTTTTTCGTGGATAATTTTTTTGTAGTTTCTCTAAGATTTCACTTGCTATTCTATAAAAAAATATTGATTAAAAGTGTTACTGCTTACAACTGGAAAATGGGTCTCATTTTTAAACCAATTGGTACAGTCCAAGTTTATGACATCCAACTTCTCTAACTAAGACTAAGTATATAGATGGTGAATATTTGCCTCATAAAAGGAGGTATTGGTTTTTATGTCGTTTTTTCATGGATTTGTACTTTATATGGATGTTCATGTATTACATTATTATTAGAAAGTAAACTGATCCATTCTTTATTTCAGATACTTTTCTTGAACAAGGATAATTCGAGGGTTTTGGTTTCATTAAGACATCTGTGGAGCCTCATAGTCATTTTCACTTTTTTTTTGACTAACTACTACTGATATTTTAAAATCATGTTTTAATATGATTTTTAATCCGTGTGATTGTGTATGAAAAGTATTTCACTTTTGGTGTGAAATAAGGTTGCTCCAGACTTAATATATTTGGGACCTGTCACTTTAATTTTCAAAACGTTTTATTTTAAATTTCCATTCTAAATTTTATTTTATGTTAATTTTTAAAAGATATTGTAAATCTTTCAAGGTGTATTATAAGATCTTTTTTTTCTTCTATCCATACCGTCCACTGATACAGTAAGATAGGTCAAAGTTACTTTTTAATGGTGGCAAAACATTTGATACAGAATATACATACACATTGTTGTTCATATTAGTTACTGTGGCATCCACAAAAAAAAACATTGACACATTCATAGTTAAAAACAGGAAATGCCACCCAATGGAACTTTAAAAATCTTTAAACTGATGGTGTATGTGTGACATTCTCTGTTACCAAGTAGTTGTAGAGCTCCATCTTCAGGAGTGGCCGAATGTGGACCTCTTTCATTTGAACTAAACAATAAACTTTCATATTTTATTTTCTACATTGAATATTTCCAAGAACAATATGGTGTTTGTATCTATAGTTATAATAGATGTATGAAATTTATTTACAATTCACTTACATATTAAAAGTATTACTGTAATGCAGAATCAGATGAAACGGTTTAAAATACGTATTATAATGTATTTTTTGTTGCTTGTGAATTATCCATGATTTTAAAGAAGTTAATAAAATGTTTAGTAAACAAGTGGATTCTTAACTGCAAAGGTTAAAGATAAAAACGTGAAAACCTGTATGTATTATCATAGGTTGGTACTTACTGAATTTTAAAATAAATACACATGGAACTTAACCACAACATTCTTTTAAGTTATCTCCTTAAACACAAGATCAAAGATAAGCCTTAAAAATCGTAAAACTATTATAGTTATATCTCTCAAAGCTGCTTTTTCCATCCTAGTTTGAATTGTTCTTGTTAACAGTTTTGTGGATATAAAGGTGTAGATAGGATTATAAATTTCTTTTGTTTTAATGAATGTAATATAATTTTGGAGAAATTAATTTATATGTTAAATAATTGTATGTGGAAGAAAGTATTCAAAAAGTTTAAAAAGTCAGCTGTATTGCATTTTGAGCCTTGTGCTAAATTTTTTTAATCTTTTAATTTTTCGATGTTTGTTTTCTGTAACTTTATAAGCATTTGTTTGTGTAGATGTTTTCACTACTGTGTGTGATTGTTTCTGTACTTACATAGTGTTACTCTTTTTCTAGAGATGTGATAAATCTATTTAATTAAAACGTTTCAAGACACAGATTTGTTGACGTCCATATATGCAAACAGTGTTAGTGTATTTAATCAACCACGATATTAAAATGTAAAACCCGCATTTTATTTCTATTATTATTATTATTATATGTTTATACAACACCTGGTTTATTTAATTTCTGTATCTGGTTGTTAGAGAAGATATGACAGCACTAATAAAATACTGTTGAAAATTATAGGGGTCATCGTTATGTTTTCAGTTGTGATACACACGTTTGGAATATGAAAAACAAATTGTATATTTTTAGCATTAAAGCAAAGTGTACTTTTTATTTTAACTTGTACTAACTTTATGGTGTTAGCATTGAAATAAAATTCTTTACGTGGGTTTAGTAGGATCATACTTATAATATTTTGTCTGAATCTGTCAACTACAAACAACATTGCGTGTAATATGAACTGTTTTATGCTGTTTGATGTAAAAGTAAGTTGCCAAAGAAGCCTTTAGTATAAAGAGAGAGAGAGAGAGACACACACACACACACACCATATCTGTGAAAGGATAAGTCTTCTCAAGCCCACGCGATGAGTCGGTTTTCTTTATAAGTTTTCCAGATATCTATTACGAAACAACGTCCAAACAAAGACCAGAATATTCTTACTCACCAATATAACTGACAGTTGTTTCATGGTGACGAAGAACAAAATGACGAAATGAATCGTTTCAAACAAGAGAGCATATCTACTATTAATTTTGTTTTTGTTATAGATTGAATTTCTTGGAAATCCATACATAATCTGTAGCTGTCATTCAACCGTTTTGGACTTAAGAAACAAGTTCAAAACTTTTGTTCTATAGGAATGGTGCGTTTTTTTTTTCAGTAGCTATGTACAGAATACACCGCTTATAACCTGAAGATTCTAGATGGACACAGATTTCTACATCGTCTACTTAGTTAAACTAAAACCTACGCCACTTACTTGAGACAGAGTAAATTACTTGATTTAATAAAGTAACAACTGAAGACGTGCTCTTTATTGTGAACTTCCGTCCAACCCAAGAATTGAACAAAACGTGGTCTCATGCAAAGCAGAGATTATAAAAAATTTGTTCTGGCCTTTAAATCTTAATAGATATGGAACTACAGTCTCTCCAAAACAAGTTTAAAAATTGAAGGTCACTGCTAGACATATTAAGACTGGAAATAGGTGTAATATTTTATTAAGATTTTTCTGTAATTAGGAAGCATTTTGTTCGATACCAGCTCTCATCTGACAGATGGAGCTGCAACATTCAAAGACTTGAGTGAAAACCACACGTGCATAACTCACTTGAGCGTTAAATGACATAGATGAAGGGATAGTCAATAAATTACTTAAATTTGTAGATGATATTAAGGTCTTTGGTGTTGCTAGCTGTGAAGAGGATGCTGCTGAATTACAAAAGAATTTAGACCATTTAGTGAGTTGAGCAAATAAAT